GGGGGGTGATGGTTACAATCCGATCTCACGTTTGGCTAAAAAAAACCAAGTAAGAGGTTACAGATTTCAAGAAGAAAGGGGGGGGGGTGTTACAATCTGATCTCACTATTGGCTAAAAAGCATATATGTGAACTACGTTTCCAAAATCTCCAATTAACACGGACCAAATTTAGTTAAGTTGAATCTTACAAAAATAAGTGAAGTTCATTTCAGGTTGAAATGACACACACAACACATTCGATTATACCTTTCATTTGATGAATTTTAAATCATTGTGAACTGAATAGCATACATTGTGTACTATTCCAAGAAAAAAAATTATCACATAAATACGAACTGTCTTTTCATTTCAACAGAGTACCCGATATGCAGCAATCGTCACTGACCCCCCCCCCCCCCTTACACTTTGATGTAAGTTTCTATACACCATATTTCATCGAACAAGTAATAAAACATACCGTTTCCCAGCGTTTCTTTAACATAGAATCCATCCTCATCAAAAGAATCTAGGATTCTCTGCCCAGGCTTTCCTCTGCGTCTTTTTTTCGACATGTTTATTATATCCCGCTTCAAAACAATTAGACTTCCGCTCTCTTTACACACGCGCATGCGCATTCTAGATGTGTGTAACGTCAGAGGTGTGTAAGTGAAGATGGCAACTTCAATCCGCACGATATCTGTGTAATCATGTGTTCGATGAAACCCCGAAACTGGGACACGTTATTTTTTTTTACTTTTTTAGGATTAAGACATGTCAATTTTTCGTTTTAAACGATAAAAAAGATTGGGGACTTGATTCAAGTCCCCAATGTTTTTTATGTCCCCAATTTACGACTTGCGTATCTGTCGAAGGTCCCCAATATGGCCTTCCCACACACGCACACACACACACACACACACACAATAATAATAATAATAAAAAAAATTTAATTTATTGAATTTTAAATGAAACCAGAAGAATGTTTTTAAGAAATAGTAAATTAAAAATTTATCAAGTTTTTCAAATATTTAGCAATTCTAAATCAGACTGTAAACCATTCTATATTTTTTTCTTTTAATTCAAAAAAGGAAAACCAACACACACACATACACACAAAATTAACACAAGATTTTGTTGAATTTAACTGGGGAGAAAAGTCTCATTCTAGACTGGATGAAAGTGAAATGAAAAACTTTCTGTCTCCAAACATAAGTATTATATGTTTGTCCATGTAACCTGGAACCTTATTGACTTGAAATAAATAAAAAAAATTATATTTTTTTACATTTCAATGCCAACTGAATTTGTCGAATAAAAATTTCCATTGCCTCTCTGTTCAAAGTAATCCCATCATCAAGCCAAATGTTTTTATTTGAATTCATTAAGCCCCTACATCTCCAAAATATCACAGTTTGAGAATTAGCATATTTTCTCCAAAGGGCATTATTTATGTAAAAAACTATCGAATTGTACTTTCCTGGATCCATGGTGCCACAAATCATTTGCCTAAATAGACTCCCAATATATATTTTTTGAACTGACTCATTTCTTAACAATTTTTCGATAATTTTTTGTATTCCTAACACTATTTCTGATACAGAAATTTTTTTTATGTCATTCTCTCCTACTTGTAAAAACACTTTTGTTGGACAAAATTCAACTGCGCTTCCAAAGGATTGACTAAAAATAATTGATTCTGTTGTTGTATCTTTCTCACTAAAAATCTGGACTGAATAATTACTGGGCAACGTGAAATTCACACAACCGTTTGTTACACTATTCCCTAATTCTGACACATGATTTTGACCAATAATTGCAATTCGTTCTGGAGAAGTGACTGCGGAAGTTGCTGAAGGAGATATTGTCGGGCCGGGTATGGGTGCAGGTAGAGTTGTAGGGGAAGTAAGTGAGGGAGTTGCTGGAGGAGATTGTGCTGATGGAGATTGGGTAGGGATGGGTGCAGGAAGAATTGAAGGGGAAGAATCTGAGGGAGTTGCTAAAGGAGATTGTGTAGGTACACGTGCAATCTGATTAAAATCAGATCCTCGATGCTCCTTTTTTAACGATATGTCGCTTACGAGGGTGCAGGAAGAATTGTAAGGGAAGAATCTGAGGGAGTTGCTAAAGGAGATTGTGTAGGTACACGTGCAGGAAGAGTTGTAGGGGAAGTAACTGAGAGAGTTGGTGTAGGAGATTGGATAAGGACGGGTGGTGGAAGAACTGTAGGGGAAATGATTGAGGGAGTTGCTGAAGGAGATTGGGTAGGGGCGGGTGCTGGTAGGGTTGTAGGGGAACTTACTGAGGGAGCACTGTTTTTGATTGAATGCCAATGGGAACTGGTATTGACAAGTTTTGAAATTTTTTTACTTATTTTTGCTGTCGGAGCGTTGTGAATTTGGTTTGCCAAATAGGGGTCAGAGTGCTCGACAGCTTTTAGGTACTGTCATACAAATGTTCCGAACTCTGAAACGTAAGACCCTGGAAAGTTAAAACACAGGGGTAGAAATTGGAAAGAATATGGTGCTCTCCCTTGAAATAGATAGGAGAGGTGGGAGATGGAGTTGGAACAGGAGCAGAGCCACTGAAGACACTGAAGATCAAATTACTGACATTAAAACTTTATGTTGCAGTGGACAGACAATATTAGGTGTTGACAAAACTTCTAATCTTTGTGACATGCATGTCACTGCTACATATACTACAAACAAATCAGAGTAACAAAAGAAAGAACAAAAGAGCCCCCCCATCTTTCTTGGACCTTTATTCATTCACGACAATAGCGACTTTGAGTCATACAGTAATTTCTTTTATCATTTGAGAACTAAACTTTCAGATACAGATAAGTCTAAATTAATCTTTGGGTCAGATGAAGAAAAGGCTTTAGTAAAAGCAATTACTGAATGCTTTCCCGAATCAAACCATATATTGTGTAAGAGACATCTTTATCAAAATACAAAACAAAAACTTGTTGATGATAGTGTAGACAAGGCAGACAGACAAAAAATATTAGACCTACCCGGTAATTTTCAGTGATGAGGGATTGATAAATTCTGACGACAGTATTTGCTTCGAACACATTTCAGAGCAAAAAGAAGACATATCAAAGGAGCTTTCAGGCAAATTTCTAAAATATTTCAAAAAACTGCTACTACTATAATAATTCTGAGTCATTAAATCATGTCTTAAAACAAGCAATTGATTGGAAATCAAAACCACTCCTTGATTTGGTAAATATACTTACAACACTTATAGAGTCACAGTTTAAAGACCTTAGAAAATCACTTGTGGGGGTAGGACAATTGAAACTAGTAGAAACACATGATCATTTCGGTGTTTCAAAATCAGTATGGGTGACTAAACAACTGACGAAAGAGATAGGCTGTACAATAGATTCCGACTTTACATTCCACCAGACAAAATGACACTCACATCAACAGACGGTACTACAGCTATAGTCAGATCACGCACCTTAGGTAAAAAAATTGGTCAACAAAAACGTAAAAAAGTGGACAGGACTACAACTATCAAAAAATCTAAAATACAGTAGATCTTCATCTCCCCATACTCAGTCAGTCTTACAGAACAATCAAATCTATGTTTTGTTTTTACAATGTTTATTTATGATTTTTGTTTAGAATAGGGTTAGTATCAGGAAGTATTCCTCCCCGGCCAGACGGGTGCAGATCAGTGAATACTGTTTGGTGTTGTGTTAGGTTAGAACTTAGAGTAGGCTTAATTAGTATCAGGCAATATTCCTCCCCCGCCAGACGGGTGCAGACCAGTGAATACTGTTTGGTGTTGTGTTAGGTTAGAACTTAGAGTAGGCTTAATTAGTATCAGGCAATATTCCTCCCCCGCCAGACGGGTGCAGACCAGTGAATACTGTTTGGTGTTGTGTTAGGTTAGGTTAGGAATATAATTTTATCTAATGATGTTAATAAAATTATAAATTATTTTTTCTGTCATTTTTCATGAAGTTATTTAATAATTTACTTTTATGTTTATTGCTCTCTTTGACAGAAATATTTTGACTATGAATAATGATAGCGAGAGACGCTTGTGCGGAAATCCTGGCTAGGCGTCGAGAGGCGCTTGTGAGTGGGAAAGAGTTAAACAAAAGGTGGTTATTACCAACTAGACCAGGTGTCACTGGACCAGATGTCAACAGCTGTGTATATATATTGCATGTATACATACAGGGGGGTGGCTGCCTGTCCCAGTAACTACCAACAAACCTGGCTGATGTGTGAATAGTATTATCACAATACTCCCTCAACATGTGGTCACATATGCAACATGCAAATATTATTAATTTTTATGGAACTTTCTATTTTTAATAGACCTGTGTTCAAATAATTTCATTCTTGGATAATACTAACTGCTTTCTAATATCAATGAGTATTTATTTTCTTTTCAAACATGCAAAAACAAGCCAAAAACTCCCATTTGAAGGGGTACAAAACTACTGTAAACAAAAGGAGTCAATTAAGTCCTGAATATGTTGATTTATATTATTTTTAATTAGATTTAATTTTTATTCATTTTTTTTATTTCCTTTTATGTATTTATAATCATGTTAATTCTTATTATAAAATTCCTATATACTATCATTCACTTTTTATAAGCATTAATATTTTTCACGTACAACTTGGAACTAGTAGTTGTCAGCGATCGCGATTTTAGATCGGGCGTGGTATACGGTATACCACGACAACTAGTAATGGCGTCCGATTTTTGTCGATTCTCAGGTAAAATTGGCTATAAAAATGTACGGATAACAATATCATTCAAATAATCACCACCTAAACCCTTTATGTATCCCAACTAATTCATTTTTAGGGGGATTCTACCTTTTTGTCGGGGATTCTTCTTCCTGTAGCGGGATTCTCCTGAAATCCCGGGATTCCTGAAAGTCCTAGCACCGTAACTTCTTGGATTTTTTCCGTTGATTTCAATATTAAAACGTGTAGGCCTATATACCGAAAAGACTTAAAGCGCCAAATTAACTCTGATGTGAAGCAGACAGATTTCGACCTCGAAACGGACGTCCGATATGGAAAAGAAAACTGTCAGTATTGTTGGTTCAGGAAATTGGTAAGATGTGTTGGCAATTCTGTAGACTGTAGAAGAGTAGATCTTCCAGATAACTAGATTAAGTATCAGATTGTAATTACTTCGTTTTTTCGATAGACTGAGATGATCAGTGTACTAATAAATGTGTAGCCGGCTTGTATTTTGATCAGTGCACTCTGCCGTTTTGTTATTTACACTCGTTACTGTGTATAGCATTAAACCTAACTTTGCCACAAATTACTGTTTCAGTGACATGTTTTGATGGTCGTCTCTATGGCTGGACCAATCTCTCAAACATTTTATTGGATGTGGAAAAAAAATGCTTATTTAGCAACATGAGAAAAGGGATAAGTTATTCTCTTTAGAGAAGTGCATGAACAGGCTTTCACCTTCAGATGAAAGCAAAAGCTTGTCTACTTTTCTTAAGAAAATAAATGACAACCTGCCCACTTTTCTAAAGAGAAAAGGGATTGACTATTCTCCTATTGTGTAAAAAAAAAGATTTACTGATTTATCAAGTATTGTAGGGATCTGTTGGTGAAATTTTGAGATGCAGCACTAAGCAGTCTTTGAAAAGTTACATAGAATTCTTAAAGAATTTTAATTTTTGTACTGCCACTGCTCAAATGTTTCCGGAATAACGGATTGTGTACATCACTACTTTTTATTTTACATTTATAAACATTTTCAGTACATTACATTTATTGTGCATGTTCCGCAACTGTCAGTCGCACTTTAATCAGCTCCAGCACTGAGTAAGTGTTGCTTTGTTTTAATATTTATGTATTTCCGAATATATTATGTTCAAAGGTTAATGGAAGAATATAAGTCAGGTATTTTGATTTATTTCATTGCATGTGAATTTCCTAGTCATAAGTCCATTATATGCAAAGATAAGTTTACAATGTTTCAGACATGTGTGTTTACATATAATAAGTCATTTACTCTTATGCGTATATATTTACAATACTAGGGCTGCATCACTCATTGTATATCAAAGTCATAATTCTTTGGACGCAAATTTAACTGAATTAGGGTCATGTTTACATGTGTAAATTGATTGTCACGTGATTCATGTTTGTACTAAGTGTATGTTTTCATATGTTGAGTATTTTACCATTGGATACCATCCATTGAAGATAAACATTCTACACAATTTATTTATGGCAGTGATGCTTTATCTTACTGAGATTTGAATCAGTACAATTTCATTTTCTCCCCTTCTTTCGTCTCCTATGTTTTCATATTCAAAATGTTTAGTATTTTTAATTATTTAAGTTGATGTGAATTCCTTGTACATCAATAAATATTGAAATAAAATAATTGATTCTTCAAGAAAAACTGAAAGATAATGGAAAGAAGTGCAAAACTTTATTGTGGTAAGCATGACACTTGCACTTGTCACCTTTCCATTTATCTCTCAACTTTAATCTTGGAGACCTGAAATTAGGTTCACATTAAATGATGATCTGTTTTAACTTCAATATTCTGATTCTATTATAATCACTTACTGAGGTAAACCCATCCTCTGATAAATAATACACTTAAGAAAAGAAATGCACACATCTAAAGCAAAGAAAGAGTGAAAAGAGAACCTCTGACTGCTTTAAGAACTCAATATATTAAACTATTTTTTGAATAACATTAAACACAAATTCTACTGAAGTCAAAACATGACAAAAATATGGAGAAAAAATTAATTAATCATAAACTAATGAATCATTGATTAAATCTTGTCAACAGCAAATGTGGTAGTTCAAGGGGCAATGATATTTAAAATTCTAAACTTAAACTTTAATAATTTACTTTATATAGCTTGTCAAGATTATTGATGAAAGGGGAGGAACTATGAGCAAGGAGTCACAGACACTAAACAGCTAAAATGTCACTATTTTTTAATGAATTTCAAACATGCAGGAATAATTCTTTGATTAATTACTTTGAAAATATTTTTTCTATTTTTCAGGGGATCTGCTATTGCTAAAATCCTGGGTAAAAATGTTGTGGAGAGAGGAAAGAGATTCAACTCAGAAATTAAGATGTACATGTATGAGGAGATGATAGATGGTAGAAAGTTGACAGAGATTGTAAACACAGAACACGAGAATGTCAAGTATTTACCGGGCATCAAAATCCCAGAAAATGTAGTAAGTTAGCACAGATAATGAATACAAAACATAATGTCAAGTATTTACCTGGCATCAAACTCCCAGAAAATGTAGTAAGTTAGCACAGATAATGAACACAAAACATAAGAATGTCAAGTATTTACCAGGTACTCCCAGAAAATGTGGTAAATTAACACAGATAGAGATGAACATCAAATATGAGAATGTCAAATTTAACCAGGATGTCTAAAAGTTAAAATGCTTTGTTCAATGATCTTTTATTTTAAACATGTAAGCATAACAATTTCAAGTCTTTACTACAGAAATATCATGACACTTGTCATGAACATAACAGCATAGTTGGAATATTGTAATTGAGCTTTACTGAGTAGCCAGAGTCTTTCATCATGTTTTTTTTTAAACTCTGATTTGTCTTGCAGTATTGTTAGATACACTGAATTGTTGATTGTTTTGTAGGACATAATTCTTTTGGTTGTTTGTTGCCTGATATTTTGATATATTTTGTTTGTCAGGTGGCCATTCCTGATTTACTGGAGGCCACAACAGGAGCAGATATCCTGGTCTTCGTTCTTCCACATCAGTACGTCCATAAGATCTGCAGCACTCTGAAAGATAAAATCAAACCCAAGGCAGTCGCTGTCTCCCTAATTAAGGTCAGTGAATAACAATGGGGATAACAAATGTACTTTATTTTGCAGAACTTTGATATTCCGTGAGCAATCTTGACACCCCCCCCCCCATCACCACCAAGAAAGGGGGAGGGGGGAATCATACACACACACACACACGGTCACCTAAGAAATGTAAAGTACTTTCAATCATAAGATAAATCACATTTGATTCAGTGGCCATTTCTCTTAAAAAAGTAGGTACAGACAAATGTGAAAATATTATTTCAGTAGAAAAATCAGACTTAATGAAATGGTAGTCTCCCACATACATTTAACATTATTATACTAATGTTTTAGTGTTTTCTAATTTCTCTGAAGCATTATATTGATTATAGTAATTTTTTTAATTTGGATTACAGGGATTTTCCATTCATGATGATGGGGTTGTGATTCCAATGTCTAAAGTGATTGGGGAGGCATTGGGAATTCCCTGTGCAGCATTAAGTGGGGCAAATCTAGCAACAGAAGTGGCACAAGAACAATTTTGTGAATCCACTATTGGTAAGATGTTAACACACAGTGATCCATGCTATTCTAAAGGGTACATACAGACACATATCATATGCCTTTATGGTTTGTAATGTCTCTGAAGTCTTCTTTATTTTTCAAGAACTCCAATGGAGAAGCTATTTCTATTCCAGGAACATGATATTGTTAAATAGAAAAAATCTAAGTTCATGTCAAGTTGATATTAAATGTATTTGTCCACCACTTTGTTGTACAATGTATGAGTTGAAAGCCTCTGGCAATCACTTGGATGTAAACATTATGATAACAGGGTGTGAGGACGAAGAGATGGGGCAGCTACTGAAGGACTTGTTTGAGACACCATACTTCAGGATAGCTGTCGTTCAGGACAGACAGACCGTGGAGGCTTGTGGAGCTCTAAAGGTATAACTCAGATAGCGGTGGAAAACTTTTTCAGATAGCCAGTCATTCGGACTGGCTAGAAGACAAAATAAGCTGGTCCAAAGTGATTTTTGCGGGTCCGAAATAGTAAGTCGCAAAATTAAAAAAAAAACAACATTTATTTACTTCATTACACATATATTTACTTAATAATAATATAACATTCAGTCTCCATTTCCAAGTCCTCTTCCATTTTCGTTTTTTGCATTTATAACAATACTAGATTTGGCAGGTGACAATGCAGGTTCAGCATAGTAAACATAATTTTTTTGAAACATTTATGCATTTTGGAATTATGCTAACATAGAAAATGAGTCTAAAAAATTGTAGAAATTCTGTGCATCGATAATAAAGATATCAACACGATTGATGAAAAAATGAAATCCGGGACAGTCGGAAGTACTACATTTACCGCTTTTCCCAACTGTGTTTTGATTTCTTTCTGTCGAAATTTTTCATGTTTAGCTTGTCTTTATCTGTTTCTTTATGTTTTCTACCTAATTCTTCCTCAGTTTTAAATTTAATAGGTCACGAGAACATGCTAATTTCACTTTCATTTATAGCCTCGATCTCATGTAAAGAAAAAGTATTGCGCAATCGCATATAAGGTACATGTACGATAATTAAGCTGGGAAGTGCGCTGATGATAAATGGAAAAACAAAAAACTTTAACCAAAAAAAGGGACCGGTCATGTGGGCCAACATCGATAGCATTTTTACTGGTCACACACATTTTTTGCCAGTTTTGCCTACATAACTACATAAGCATACTCTTTTAAAAAGAGGGGTTTCTTATTACAGTTAAGCCTTGTTAATCTGGATTTTGGAAGCATTTGGAATACTGAAACAAATTTTGTGTGGAAGTTGAAACGTCCAGATTATTAGCATCAAGAATAATGAGGCTCCTGTATTTTCCATTATAAAGTGTACAAATGTTAAAAACATGACTGTAGAAAACAGGTATAACTCTTTAGACCTAGATTCATCCTGGGATATGCAAAGAAGTAAAATTAGATTGGTAGGAACATGAAAAATCATGGCATGTGTTCTAAGTATACCCCACACAATGAGCTGTGGAGGGTATAATGTATTTGATCCGTCTGTCACTCAGTCAGTTTGTTCCTTCTGTCCTGTTATTGTCATCACAACTCCTCTAAAATGGCTCAACAGAATTTCATAATGTGTAGATGTGCATATTAAAAGGAAATTTTGATTAAATTTGTATCTGGGAAATGTTTGAAGTTAAAAGTCTTATCCAGACTTAGATATACTACTGCAACAGTTTGTCAGTGCAACTTCTCTTAAATCACTCAACAGAATTTCTTGAAACTTTGTATTTAAGAACAATAATGTGTTGATGTGCATATTCACAGGAAATTCTGATTCAGTTATTTTTTCAAGTTATGCTCCTTTTGAACCTAGAAGTTTGGCCAAAATATACCAGTCTGTGCATCTTGTATGAAACAGTTAGCATGTGCATCATGATTATAAATGCTGAGATGAAGTTGTTTTCTCATTTGATAATATTTATTCAGTGCACCTATGGATGATACAAACAGATCTAATTCTGGTGATAAACATCATTCTGTAAAAGGGAAGAAGGGTGGGGGGGGGGGGGGAGGGGGGTTGAAGGAGGTAGATTTAATGCATAGCATCATAGCATTGCCATCCGTAATGTGTAACACTTTTTAACAATTTGGGAGCTTGCTCTCTTTTTCTTTCATTTCTCACATATTAGTTAAGTAATCATGGTAATACAGCAATAGTGCCAAAAGATTGAAAAAAAAATCATCTTTGGAAGGACCAGCAATTGTTGATGGCCTTGAATGTTGGGTTAACACTAATACTTTTGTTTGACACCATGGTATTTACAGAACATTGTTGATATATGAAAGGGTATTGCTGAGGGTATAACACTAATGCCATACTGCTATTTATTTGACACATTCATTGATATATTCACAGAACTATTTTTGGTGTAGAAGTGGATATTGTTGATATATTTACAAAACTTTGGTATAGAAGCTGGTACTGTTGATATATTTACAGAACATTGTTGGTATAGGAGCAGGTATTGTTGATGGTCTTGGATACGGAGATAACACTAAGGCAGCTGTAATTAGACTGGGTCTGATGGAGATGATTAAAGCTACGGAAATGTTCATCCCAGGTAAGTCTAGTGTATCCCAGGTAATGTCTAGTGTGTCCCTGGTAATGTCTAGTGTGTCCCTGGTAATGTCTAGTGTGTCCCAGGTAATGTCAAGTGTGTTCCAGGTAATGTCTAGTGTGTCCAAGGTAATGTCTAGTGTGTCCCAAATAATGTCAAGTGTGTCCCAGGTAATGTCTAGTGTCCCAGGTAATGTCTAGTGTGTCCCTGGTAATGTCTAGTGTGTCCCAAATAATGTCTAGTGTGTCCCAGGTAATGTCTAGTGTGTCCCAGGTAATGTCTAGTGTGTGCCTGATAATGTCTAGTGTGTCCCAGGTAATGTCAAGTGTTTTCCAGGTAATGTCTAGTGTGTCCAAGGTAATGTCTAGTGTGTCCCAAATAATGTCAAGTGTGTCCCAGGTAATGTCTAGTGTCCCAGGTAATGTCAAGTGTGTCCCAGGTAATGTCTAGTGTATCTCAGGTCATGTCTAGTGTATCCCAGGTAATGTCTAGTGTATCCCAGGTAATGTCTAGTGTGTCTCAGGTAATGTCTAGTGTGTCCCAGGTAATGTCTAGTGTGTCCCAGATAATGTCAAGTGTGTCCCAAATAATGTCTAGTGTCCCAGGTAATGCCAAGTGTGTCCCAGATAATGTCAAGTGTGTCCCAGGTAATGTCTAGTGTCCCTGGTAATGTCAAGTGTGTCCCAGGTAATGTCTAATGTGTCCCAGATAATGTCAAGTGTGTCCCAGGTAATGTCTAGTGTCCCAGGTAATGTCAAGTGTGTCCCAGATAATGTCAAGTGTGTCCCAGGTAATGTCTAGTGTCCCAGGTAATGTCAAGTGTGTCCCAGGTAATGTCTAGTGTATCATAGGTAATGTCAAAAGTGTCCCAGGTAATGTCTAGTGTATCTTAGGTAATGTCTAGTGTATTGTAGCCTGTATAATTTATGTAGTGTAGCCTAGATAATATTTAGTGTAGCCTAGCTAGATAATGTCTAATATAGCTTAGATAATATTTAATCTATCCTAGGTAATTTAGGTAGTCTAGTTTCTTTTTTGCAAATGATGTCACCTGCTAAACTTATGAATGAGGACATGCTACAACTTCTTGTAATTTAGACTTATAATAATGAGCATAACAACGGAAATGTAAATGGTGACTGTGAAGATGTATTTTGAAACTTGATTGTCATGTTCAATTAGTTCCAAATAAACATTACACCCAGATTAGTTTTTTGTGGTATTTTTGACAGAGATGAAAGTGACCACCTTCTTTGAGAGTTGTGGTATTGCAGATTTAGTGACAACTTGTCACGGAGGGAGGAACAGACTACTAGGAGAATCTGTCATCAAATCAGACAAGGTATAGATTAATATACTGGTATCTGCTTATTGCTAAGAAACATTCAGACAAGGTATAGACTAATATACTGGTATCTGCTTATTGCTAAGAAACACTCGGACAAGGTATAAATCAATGCACGTGTATCTGCTTATTGCTAATAAACACTGCTAATCGGTTGAACACAAAATGTGATTATTCGGTTAATCATATCAAAATACATGTACATGTATGTACACTTTTCCTGACTTTTTTCAAGTAAACTCTATTCAAATAAATGAAAAAAGTAAAAAAAAACAAAAAAAAAAAACACAGGTATTAATCTGTTCATGCTTGATCATTATAATTTATAAATTTTATTTCAGTTTCAAATGGCAAAAATTTTTTTAAAAAGTTAATCGTGAAACATCCCTGAGAGATCAAAGACATTGATAATTTTTCAGACAAGATGTCACGGTTTATTCCCCGAACGTCTACTCGCTTAATCAATAATATAATTATCACACTGTTTATCACAATTAAGAGGCCCTCTAAGGGGCACAGGTACCGTTTACCTGTGTTACCTTGATTTGACAGTCTAAATTAAATACATTTATTTTTGTAATAAAAATTATTTATTAAAGCACAGTTTATTTTATTAAATAATAACTATACTTTAAGACACTGAACAAGTATTTTTCATATAATAAATATTTTTTTTTATTTCAAAATACATTTTAATACAAACATTATAAACATTCAGAACATCCTTGACAGGGATTTCCTTTTTCATCTAACTTTCAAAGTGAACTGATTTAATCAGCCTCATTACCAATTATTAATAATTTATGTTGTTGGTTGAAATTAGATTCAAAATTCATAGTGAAGTGATTTGTTTTAAAATCATTTTATATCACGCTTCTTGGTAAATTTTTTTCAAAAGATAAATTGATTATCTTAAGATTTGCTTTTTATCACGCAGACTTAATGATTTTGAAAATGATATATTGTTATATTACATGTTTCTAGAGTAAATGCTTTGAAACTTTAGTTAAAAATTTGAAATAAAAAAATTATTAAGCAAAAATTAACTCAATTGATAAAGGATATATTGAAAAAAAAATTAAATAGGGTATATTTAAAAAAAATGACATGAAAGATTTTTTGTCTATTTAAATACATTAACATTGTTATAATACTAATAGTTGATGCTTTGAAACACTGAATATAAAATAAATAGACTGAATTAAAAATTATTTAGCATCATGAAATATAGTTTTTCCCATTTAAATGAAGGTAGTAAATAATATTTAGAGTAAATGCCTTGAAAACTTCAGTAAAAAATAAATGAAATAGTACTAAAGAAATATTCAATATCTTAATTAAAATATTTAATTCATTTCATAGGAAATATCACAAAAAGATTTGTTTATATTTAAACAGTCATATAAATGCAGGTAGTTAATCCATACAGGTAAACTCTACCTGTTCCCTTTGGAGGACCCCTTAATTGAGTGTGAAAATTATATTGTTGATTTAGCGAGTAGACGTTCTGGGAATAAACCGATGTCACACAGGGTCATTCTACATTGTCACAATAAACAGACAAGGAGTCTGAGCTATCACATAATTAACAATGTTTTACACTGTAATCAGTTTACAGTAATCAATGATCATTAAACTTATATCATTAAAGAAATACAGGAAAGACTGGACAGCAACATGTTGTTTAAACAGCAATTAACACTTCACAAACTGACCAATTACCCCAGTGACCTCATTTCAAAGAGCCTCAATTACATGTAATTACCTCCATATCAGTTGAAATAAATGTGTGAAACTTTATAACCTATCAACATTCAATTTTTTTTTTACATTATAAATTGAAATTTAAGGAAATTTACACATAATTTATTTTTCTGATTAACTTATTACAGATTTTCTAACTGATTACCATAATTCCAACTGATCAATCAGTTAACCGGTTAAATTTGCCCTAATATTAAAAGACCTCATGTGTACATATAATTAAGAAATAATTCCCGCGTCGGAGGAATTGTTGGAGAATACACCCCGATGGCAAATAAAAACCGAGCTTGAAGGGAGAGGTTTTTATTTGCCAACAAAATCTTGAGACTGAGGGGTATATTCTCCAACAATTCCGACGACAAGGGAATTCTTTCTATTCTGCTGCAGTAAAATTGAAACTTCTCTGTAGAGAAATGCAGAAGCTACATTTGGACGTCATCAAAAGTGTCTCATGATGTCACAATAGAATGCTAAACCTCATTCATTTGTATCTCAAGCTTCAGAAAAAGTACAATGTAATCCAAAACAAAAGTAAATTTTTTTCCCACCAATTTGCATCACAATCAAAAGATACCTCTATCCTTTTCCTAGTGAAGGCAGTCAAAATTAGAGGAAAACGATTTAAAATTATCAATAATTTGTTGATGACATGTGTGATTTATGGGAGAATAATGGCTGCGGCATCTCTTTGATCTTTGCAATAACAGTGGTAGAATTACCATGATTTGTATAATAATATTGAGGTCTGTATTTCATCGACTTCATAACAGTCAATAACTGTAGAACAGGCACCTTCCAAACACCTTCAAAACATTATCAGAGCTTTAATTTGTAAAATGTACATAATTGTGATAAATTTAAATGCCCACTGAAAGAAAAAGAGCTCTTGATTGAGTAATTCTAGTCTCAAAAATAAGAGGCAGAACATCCATTTCTGTACAGATGTATATGTATTTGTGGGGCATATTGCTTTCCACCTATCATTTATGCTTCTGGGTGAATTGATGGGTAATAATAATAATTATCATTAATCCGGATTAGTGCAAAGCACCAGTCTTCCTCGGGGCCACAGTTATACAACCTAATGTTTCCACAGTTATACAACCTTATGTATCCACAGTTATACAACATAATGTATCCACAGTTATACAACCTAATGTATCCACAGTTGTACAACATAATGTTTCCACAGTTATACAACCTAATGTATCCACAGTTATACAACCTAATGTATCCACAGCTGTACAACGTACATATGTAATGTTTCCAAAGTTATACAACCTAATGTATCCACAGTTATACAACCTAATGTATCCACAGTTATACAACCTAATGTATCCAGAGCTGTACAACCTAATGTTTCCATAGTTATACAACCTAATGTATCCACAACATAATGTATCCACAGCTGTACAACCTAATGTTTCCACAGTTATACAACCTAATGTATCCACAACATAATGTATCCACAGTTGTACAACCTAATGTATCCACAGTTGTACAACCTAATGTTTCCACAACCTAATGTATCCACAGTTATACAACCTAATGTATCCACAGTTGTACAACCTAATGTATCCACAGTTAAACAACATAATGTATCCACAACCTAATGTATCCACAGTTATACAACATAATGTATCCACAGTTGTACAACCTAATGTATCCACAACTTAATGTATCCACAACATAATGTATCCACAGTTGTACATCCTAATGTATCCACAGTTGTACAACCTAATGTATCCACAACCTAATCCACAGTTGTACAACATAATGTATCCACAGTTGTATAACTTAATGTATCCACAACATAATGTATCCAAGTTATACAACCTAATGTATCCACAGTTATATAACCTAATGTATCCACAGTTGTACAACCTAATGTATCCGCAACCTAATGCATCCACAGTTGTACAACCTAATGTATCCACAGTTGTACAACCTAATGTATCCGCAACCTAATGCATCCACAGTTGTACAACCTAATGTATCCATAGTTATACAACCTAATGCATCCACAGTTGTACAACCTAATGTATCCACAACCTAATGTATAGACAGTTATACAACATAATGTATCCACAATATAATGTATCCACAGTTTTACAACCTAATGTATCCACAACCTAATGTATCCACAACATAATTTATCCACAGTTATAATGGTCTGCTTACAGAGATTAACTTTGGCAGTTAGATAATGCTCATTTCAAGGAAAAGATTGAATTTTAAGGATCTTAATAATGAGAGAATTTTAGTGCTCTGCAATTCTTATTTAAGTGACTTTGGCAATCTCTCTCTTTTAGACAATAAAACAACTCTGCAATTCTTATTTGAGTGACATTGGTGTGGTATTTCTTTCAGACCATTAAGCAGTTAGAAAAGGAGATTATGAAGGGTCAGAGTTTTCAGGGGCCGCTGATAGCCAGGGAAATCTACACAATGTTGGAAAAGAAGAATATGACAGACAAGTAGGTTCAAAGACAACAACAACTGTTTAATTATAATATTTAACAGTTAAATTTTAAATTTTATTCACCTTTTATCCTAAATTTTATGTTTTTGATCTTGCAGTACCGTTTGCTCTGTTTTGTTATAACAGGAAAATAAGAAGTTGCAACTGACAGATTACAAAAACAATCGTTTCTTGATTTACAAATGTATTCATGAGTTAAGAAAATATATGCGTAGTTATTTATCCTTCATTGTATTGACTATATACCTATGCACCTAACCTTTATGAATGCTGTATATCTCCTTTTCATTACAAAATGAGTAAATAATTTTTTTTTAAAAATGCATTTCTTAGAATGCATTTAAAGTTTTCAGGCAATCAAAAAGATTAAGATCTTAAGTGGTGTAATTTTTTTTTTTTGTTAAAGCAGTGAAATAGAGATTGATCATATAAATGTATAACTCATTCATGGTTGAAATTCCCCCCATATGGAAATGTTCATGTTTACAGTATTTTTTCACAGTAAACAGACATGCAGATGATCTTCCTATTTGTATTTTAATTTTCCTCTGTTTATACCATTCATAGAATCTTTAAGTTTTGATTTCCCAGGGTTTATGGTAATAAAATTAGGCTTCCATTGTTGGCAGTCATTCTTAAGATAGGTATCTTGCATCTTCCCACTGTTTATGGCCATTCATAAGATCTTTAAGGTTTCCACTGATTACAGATTTTGTATGGTCTTCATCAATTTGGATTTTATAGTGTATGGTGATTCATAAAGATATTTATAAGACATGTATCTTTAGGATTTCTACTGTTTGAAGCTATTCAAAAAATTGTATCTTGTTGATTTCAACTGTTTATAGGTATATGTAAGACTTCAACTGTTTATAGGTATTTGTAAGATTTCAACTGTTTATAGGTATTTGTAAGATTTTAACTGTTTATAGCTATTTGTAAGATTTCAACTGTTTATAGTTATTTGTAAGATTTCAACTGTTTATAGGTCTTTGTAAGATTTCAACTGTTTTTAGATATTTGTAAGATCTCTCCACTTGACAGCATCTTATGATCTTTAACAGTTGCATTTCCATATTAATGATCATTGATTTAGATATGTAGAATAAAGATTTCTACCATTTATAGGATTCACTAAACTCATCTGTTGGTGTCCACTGTGTAGGGCCATTCATAAGATCTTTATTTCTAAGGTTTCTACTTTTTACACTGGTCATAAAAAATTTGACAGTTTTTGTTTTAGGTTATAGCTGTGTAAGAGTGATTCATAAGATCTCTGTGTATAAACATTTATACAGTCACTCTATAACTTTGAGTGTCTTTTGGGGTTTTGTAATCAGCCTTATCTTTGGTCATCTCTATTCAAAACCATTCATATCATCTACTAGTATCTAATATCTTAAATGTTTTCTATTGTAACCAGCCATTTATGAGATGGTTATCTTTTTTTCAGATTTCCACTGTTTACAGCTATTCATAAGATCTGCATCAGAGAAATGGATCCTAAAGAGTTTATATCATGTCTTAGAAATCACCCAGAACATCTGTAAAACTGTCCATCCATCTAGAGATCTGTTAGTATAACTCAAAGGCATGTCAACAAATGGCTACATGAAGACAACAGGAATCACCCAGAACATCTGTAAAACTGTCCATCCATCTAGAGATCTATTATTATAACTCAAAGGGATGTCAACAAATGGCTACATGAAGACAACAGGAATCACCCAGAACATCTGTAAAACTGTCCATCCATCTAGAGATCTGTTAGTATAACCCAAAGGCATGTCAACAAATGGCTACTTAGAGACATCAGGAAATTCCGAAAAAAACAAAACATAACCTGATTACTAAGGAACTATTTAATGTAAAATGATTAAGTTTGTTTTATTTTACTACAGCATAAAATGGTGCACTCCTCTGACATGTAAATATGTTGGATGATTCTTTAGTTAGTGTAGTATTCTGTTGTTGGAACATTTTGAAGAATCTTTTAGTATTGTTCTTTTTGAATACTAAATGTATCTGTTTTGGGGTGTTTTTATTAACAAAATGTCACTAGATAGTTTCTGTTTAGTTGAAATTTGCTTTTGATCTCGTCTTAGTTAATGAACAAAATTTATAAGAATATAGAACATGTTTGTTGATAATTCAGTTTATCTTTGCAAGCATTGATTCTCTTATGTGTGTGTGTGTGAGACTGTATAAATTAAACTCTCCATAATTCAGTCATAATTTTTCTGATCATGAAGCTACTTGTAGTACATAACTAGGTTTTTCTGAGTTATATGTTTGAAGACTGGCAATGAATTATCTGTTAAATATATGTATATAAGGATAAACCTGAGATTATTTGTAGATTGTGGTATTTCTCTTTAAAGTTGAATGCTCCACTTTGATATTTTTTATCCTTCCTTAAGAACAATGTTCACTTGGGGCCTTTTTTGGCCCTGTGAATTTCAGAAAAACTAAAACTGCTTGGTTTTAGTTAACAGTGCATTAAATATCATTTAGACCTTTGGTGACTGAGTATCTATCAAAAATGATGTAATTTTCTGGCTAGTCAATGCATCATGAAATGCGTCATTTTCCTCATATCCTGAAAAATTCTACAAAAACAGTTAATTTTGAAAGCTATTTTTCGATATTTAATATAGAGCACAACCTCTGATCTAAAATATGCGACTATTAAATGATAAAACTATTTCTGAGGATTACAAAACATGTTTTGATCAGAGGGTGTGCTTGTATTATTTCTCTTCTGTGAAAGTACTCAAGTATACTTGTTTTCTTTAAAATTCAAGAACATTGCAATTCCATGAAGCCTGTTTTCCAAGACCTTGGCTTTAAGAAGAAAATATTTAATAGGAAATGAAAGCACCAAGTCTTTACTTTAGCTTGATGTTTGAAATGGAACATAAAGTGTTAGACAATAAATTGGTATATCTACAGGGCCATTTTATGCATAAAGTGAACCTAGCTCTTTTCCATTATTTTCAAAATTAGGAAGTGATGGTCCAATATTCATGTAGATTTTCTTGATACAATTTTTCTAAATAACAGTGAGAAAATATGAGTCCTTGGTTTGCTTGATTTTTAAAAAAAAAATTATTAATGAGCAAAGAAAACATACAAACCTAAACTTGAAAGTTTTTAAAAGTACCAGTCTGCATTCCTGACTGGATTTTCATTACACCATACTATAGAATATGATTATACATGTATATCATCATATCTGGAGTAGGCAATGTAAACATTTAATCATCTTATGGAAAAAAGAGATCCTTGGTAAGTATCTAGAGATGTATATGTTTTATTTTTCTCTTCACCCTTTAACTTCTGTTTAATGTCTGATGTGTTGCTTGCTATAAGAGTTTGTTCCAATCTTATTTTTCTTTAACTGTGATCAATGTGTTAAATTATTATAATTTTACATTATACTTAAATTTTTGTAGATTCTTATTTTGTTTGCTGTTTATTTTTGCTAAATGTAGATCTATATTGTCAATAATTATTTTTTAAACACATTGAGTTGCAGTTATCTTTTTTTTTTTTCTTTCATGTCTAAGGGATTCTAAGTTTATGAAGATAAAGTGTCAGATCTGACGTGGGTCTATAATAGGTGGAATTAAAATGTAAAGCATTCAGTGTGTCAGAGTACACACATAAGAAAAGTAACCAGATTGTGTTGGACTATGTTATTACTGCTTGTTAGAGTTTTACTGAGTATTAAAGGTGCTGATGTTTGACTAGGTTTTTTATGTATGCTGTATTTTATCAAATATTGTAGCTTTATGTTTACTCTATCCAATAGAATCATGTTGATATTTTATACATTTGAATTTTTTGCCATATGTGCTCCTATACATATGGTAATTATATGAAAAATCCAAGTTTATTGAATATTTATGTATGATAATGGATTGTTTTAAAATTCATTTGTTAAAGTATAGCAATTTTTTTTTTCATATTAATAAAAAATTTACATAAACATTGTGAAAATTTTATCCTGTTTAAATTGTTTATCTCCAGATTCTATTATATATAGTGACATATCAATTAACTATACTTGTCTGATAATATTCAGGATAAAGCCTTTCTTTTACTTTAACATTGATTTCTTAGCTCATCTGAGTCTACAACTGGATTAGCTCTTCAGATCAAAGTTTGTCCATTGTCCATCTTTCACTGCTTGTTGTTTTAATTTATCACATTTTCAAGTTCAGTACCACATGGTCATTTTAATTAAAGTTGTCAGGAACATCCTTGGATTATGGGGATTTAAGTTTGTTCAAACAAAGGACTGCACTTTCAAGGAGAGACACTTAAGAAATAGTGAAAATCAGGGTGTGGTAATTCAAAAATCTACTCACTAACTTCTAATCCAAAAAATGACAAAAGTGAAGTGAAAACTGTAGAATTAAGGTCTAATAGTTGTATTAGATATAAAAGTTTTAATCACAAAATTTGCTAAATTTACCTTTAGAAGACCCAAAGGGCCATAGTCATTTTAAATCTGCAAGCATTCCTTAGAGTATATATAAAATGTTTGGTAAATCATTGTTCTCAGGGATAGGATGGAGCCACAGCAGGGAAACAAAGGTATCATGGGAATAGGAAATAATATTAAGAAAAGCAAAAGACGTGTAGTTTTCAATGGCGGATTTAAGGGGGGGGGGGCGCACCCGGCGCCCTAAAATTGTCAAAGCGTAAATCATAGTTTTGTCGAGAAAAAGTAAAAATGTCTTCTCGGTAGACCTCATTTTTACCCTTCAAAATCTCTAGAATCCAGGAGCTTCCGGGGGCTGGGGCCGCAAGGCGGCCCCCAGACCCAATGCCTACTTCTTGCGCCCCCCCCCCCAACTTCAATTCCTGGATCCGCGCCTGGTTTTATTACTTGATTTAATGCTTGGCTGAAATTCAAAGTTATAGAATTCGGAAAAAGTAATATTCACCTACATCCAGCCCTCAAGGTAAATATAACATTTGATTTTTTTAATCTACTTTAGACCAAAACTAGATCGAAAACCTCCAAATTGATACAATTGGTTATGTTTAGGTTTGTCGTCTTGTGAAATTCCGCGGTCGACAAGGTCTTCAGTTGAAGGTAAACATCCAAGAGAGATGGTGAGATTTATTATGGAAGTTCACTGCTGAAGTTTTGTTTAAATAGCTGTACATAGTCATATCCGTTTCCTCTTACAACTGGGTCATTCTTAGGAGCACACTTCTTGTTTTTCTAACAACATGTATTTATGGATCTGCAAGGGCGGATCCAGGCCGGGGTGGGGTGGGCAGACAACCCTGCCGCCTCAAGGAAAAGTTGTGGACCTGGCTTACGGATTTCTCTCTTTGGTATCCCCTAATTACTTAATAGTAAATACCTGCACTTAAATGCAATGTTTTAAGGACTGTTACAACGCACTTTGAAAAATTACGCACTTTGAAAAAAATTTTCAAAGTGCGTTAATTTTGGGACCACGTTAACGCACTTTGAAAAAAAAAAATTCTTTTCAAAGTGCGTTAATATCGACCATATTAACGCACTTTGAAAAAAAAAAGTTCACGGCTTGGTCAATATTCTTGCAAATTTTAGATATGATAAATAATTATTTGAACCTGGTTGAATGACTTTTTGATGATGACGTCAGGATCTGAGATATAGACGTTTTTAAAAAGATTTTTAGGAGTTATCTTGTTTCCAAAGTTCTCGTAACTGTTTTAAAAGGGAAATGGGTCATTTAGAAATAATGGAGGAATGATTGTTAAATAGCACAGTTTCGTTTCCTGTTTTTCTTTTCTTTTTTAAATTTTATCCAGTCTCTAATAAGTTCGGTAGACATAGATGTCGATAAGTGACTTAAAGCATCGCATTTTTCTTAGTGAAAAGGGAGCAACTATGATTTTTCCATACCATGAAAATTCTCTCTCTCTCATCTATCTTTCTATCATATTCATCTATCTATCTATTGTGAACATATATGAAACATTGGCTGACTCATTTGTTTGATAGTAAGAAAATAAACTTTAGCCACATGACTCACTCCACTGAAATTTTTACCTCGTTCACTAATAACTTTTTCTCAAAAAAGTTATGCAGTCAGATTACTTCTAAATCTGTAATTTTATATCATAAAAACGCTAGACAAGTTCAATAGCATGTTTTAATAACCACGTAAGTGCCTTTTTCTGAGGAATCATTGTGGTAACATTTTGAATAAAGGTTATGCAGCTCTCTTCTTTCATATAATAGGGTACGTAATTTTTTTTTTTTCAGGAATACTCATCTCAATTTTTTCATCTATTTTAAATTAACTCAAATTTATTAACAGAATTTATTGAGAGAAATAATATCAATTTCATACCAGTTATGTAAATACATGTACATCTATTTGTGTAGGAAAGATAGAGAGTTGGGCTGAGGGACTTTCTACCTGTCTTCTCGTTCTCGATGAGGGTAGATCAATTCATCAGTTTTTCGGAAGAAATATAACAAATTATTGCTGTCTATTACTAAAATCTAAGTCCAGAAATTTTGTTTGATACGAATTTTTTCAAAGTGCGTTAAGTGTCTCCATGGTAAAAATGTTGATGTACACTCTTAACGCACTTTGAAAAAAAATTTCAAAGTGCGTTGATTTTGTCCCAAATTTAACGCACTTTGAAAAATTTTTTCAAAGTGCGTTGATTTTGTCCCAAACTTAACGCACTTTGAAAAATTTTTTCAAAGTGCGTAATTTTTTCAAAGTGCGTTGCCACAAAGGACAACCTATATAAAATAAACATTAACATTTGCTGAGGCCACACTTATCTCAACAATATGATCAGAGATATCAGTAATAGATAGTAGTGAATATCTAGAAATCTGTTGAACATGTCGAAGGAGGAGTATTTTAACCTTCCAATATTAAACCTCGATGACGCCTTAAAGAACCCCACTGAAGGAGGACAAGAAGTTGTTAGTGCTCTGGAAAGCGTTGGATTCTTAGGGATTGTTAATATTCGTAATTTTGAGGTGGAGAAATTAAAACACTGCTGCCAATGGTTTTTCAACCAACCCTGGGAAATTAAAAAGGCTCTTTTGAAAAGGTCTTTTAACAGAGAGAATAGCAATGTGTATCGTGGATACTTCCCAGTGGTGGAGAATTCACCGAGCAGGAAGGAGGGGTTTGAGATTGCTGCAGACGTGTCGCCAGACGACACTGACGTCATTAGCGGAAACTGGTTTTACGAAAAGTCAATATGGCCGCCAGAAAATGGAGACTTTGACTTTAAGGCAACGATGATAGACATGTATAGGATTTTACATCAGGTTGCCATGGATATTCTTAAGCTTGCATCTTTTGGATTAGGATTTAAAGAAAATGTATTTGAATATTTGTTTAAGGACAAACCATGTACAACTTTTCGATTGCTGCATTATCCACCGTGGAACGGAAAACCCCCTGAAAACGCCATCTTAGAGGACGGTAAAGTCGTCACCACCCCAGTACATACAGACTCGTGTTTCTTGACCCTTTTGACAACTTTCCATTTTCATGGACTAGAGGTAATGACCCCAGAAAGAAAATGGCTGCCTGTCCGTCCAATTGCCAATGGCCTTGTTATGAATGTAGGCGACCTTTTTAATAGAATGGTTGGAGGTCGTTTTGTAGCAACACAGCACAGAGTCCTTGACATTGGTGTTGATAGATTCGCTGTACCGTTTTTCCTAGAGCCTCGATTTGATGCCGATATTAACGTCAATATTGTAAACCAATCTCAAGAAGGAAAAAAATCGACCCCTGTTGTGAAATACGGTCCTTGGGTCTTAAAACAAATGGAAGATAAAGGATTCTTTGAATTTAAAGACCTTCCAAAGTTTTAATTTATTAAAATCTGTAAATATTGTTTTTATAAACAATTTAAAAGTTTAAGCAACACATTGTTTTCTGTACGTACTTAAATTGTAATGTAAAATTTTTAAGATATGACATTTTCAGCTCTAGATTTTGAGTTATTAGAAAACATTACTGACATTAAACATTTTTTAAAAAATATATTAGTATAGTTTCATCTTGTTTGTGTATGTTAGTGATCTGCGAGTTTCCTGAGTTCTTTAGAGAACTTGATGACATCCACTCCACTCAAGAGAAGATCCGATCTCAGGACACTGTACAGCGAGTCTGGTGAAGTAGACTGTAGAAGGCGAAGTTCAGACAGAAGCTCGGGGTCAAGGTCATAGAGTCTACAAAAATAATCAGTACTAGGTCACTGGAAGGAAACAATTATATTCCTTTAATTATTAATACAATGTACAAATGTACCCTTCCTTATATAATCCGCATAAGAAGTTTGGTAACCTTAAACATCTGATCTGAAAGACAGTAAACTGAGGAAGAATGATGCATATATTAACTGTTTTCCTTCAGTGTACCGTCGTTCACTGGTATTGAAGACACTAATGCTTCCCGTACCTTTCTATTGGGCTTGATAAGTTACAGCTATCAATCCATTCCTTTATCCGAGCTTCGGTCCATTGCCAGTAAACATTCTCCCTGTTTTGTACATCACGCACCGACTTTTTATCGTGTACCGTGTCCTGTCGCCCAAGCTTTTCTTTGCCTTATCAAAATCAGAATGTAAATGGAATTTGACGAAACGTGTTGAATAAATTTACGAATTTTTTTTTCCTTGAGCAGAAACATACCATCAGTGATATCGGGCATGTCGAATATTCTACCCCTTGAGCCAAGTTCTTTAATGAGGTTTCCCACCATGAAATCAAATCTTTTTTCTGAAGTGAAGTCGAAGTAGAGTTTAGTCCCTATGATTAATCCTAGCCATCCATCAGGGACGTACCGAGGCTCCAGTCGGAGGGGCACCACGCACTTCCGGAGTTTGTAGGCATACTCCGCCTCTGAAATGTGGGAAATGGAGTTAACAGCATACACTCATATTTTCCACTAAATACCCTTTATATTTGCCATTCTCCAGTTATTACATGTACGACCTTCTTTAATCCATTAGCAATACGTATCAGTTATCAAATCTATACAAATCTAACACACATTATAAACCAGTCAAAACTAAGAAATCATTTTCCTTTTTCATGTCACCTGATCTACAGCTGGGACTTTCTTTGTATTTCTATGACATACAGAATTATCCGATCTACAGCTGGGACTTTCTTTGTATTTTTGTGACATAAAGAATTATCCGATCTACAGCTGGGACTTTCTTTGTATTTTTGTGACATAAAGAATTACCTGATCTACACCTGGGAATTTCTTTGTATTTTTGTGACATACAGAATTATCCGATCTACAGCTGGGACTTTCTTTGTATTTCTGTGACATACAGAATTATCCGATCTACAGCTGGGACTTTCTTTGTATTTTTGTGACATAAAGAATTACCTGATCTACACCTGGGAATTTCTTTGTATTTTTGTGACATACAGAATTACCTGATTTACACTTGGGACTTTCTTTGTATTTCCTTGATATAAAGAATTACCTGATCTACAGCTGGGACTTTCTTTGTATTTCTGTGACATACATATGAGCACAACAGCAGCGTTCTCAATGGCCAGGGACATCGCCTCCACCGTAGATCCGCCTACACTGCGGTAAATCAATATTTATCAGACTTAATAAAGTATTCTGTTGTATGTTTAAACATATATGACTCTTTTCGTATTTGTGGCACAAAATAACTTCTACTGAGGTAAAGCGGATAGCTTTGAAGGTACTGGCACGACAGGCACGTATTATTAGGGGTGTTGCCCCGGCCCTCCCAAATCTTTTCCAATCATAAATTTTTCTGTTGAGAATCTTCATTAAAAGGTAGGTCCCCCCCCCCCCACTTTTCATTGTGGTAGTTAAATCATAGTAATCTGGTAATTTAATAAAGTTTGATTGTGGGAAAACAGTACTAGTTGCACCCCACTCCCACGAAATAGGATGTTGTAGTTTAGACAATTTAGCTTAATTTTTCTTTGGTTCCCCCTACACACAAACGCACTTTCAGAAACGATACTACGTGCATGCATAAACAATTTCAAGGGAGACATAAAACAATTTCAGATTTGCACTTTGTTGAAATAAAGATTCATAAAGATTATATCAAGTGTATATATTAATTTTAAAGTCAAATACCGGAAAGTTTTGTAACTGGTATTTGAAATGTGGTAGTAATGACTTTTGATGATTTTCTTTATTTTCTAGCCACATATATTTTCTTTTGATATATTAAAGTAATATATAGATATAAACCGACTAAAGAAGTACTGACTAATGTTTTCCACATCCATCCACACTTTGTATCCGGCTTGTTTTAGAGAGTCCTTGACCTTTAGCATCACAGGTTGTGAATCCCATTGGTAGCTGATCATCACGTGAGGTCGAGGATCATCTACGGTGTTTAACAAACGTTGTACTGTATTTAGTCAAATCATATTTACACATATATATGTAATGTACTTCTTACAGATAATAAAAGCAAAATGTCAAATTCAGAATGACTAGAAATGTTTGTTCTGAATCAGTGATTTAATAACAATACCATTTATAGGATAAATGCTAAGATTGCTTTGTTTTATTTCCCACAATGCACCAGTGGCAGAATGTCGTATCTTTTCATTTTCGTCAAATTGAAGACGTTCTACAACTGTAACAGAAAAAAACTACTTGATCATTCTGTAAATTCCATTTTTGAATACAAATTTTGGTTCTTATACAAGCAGAAACTTTACGTGATTACATTAAGATTATAGATCAAATAGAACTTAATTTTAGCCAAAAGACCTCATAAATGTAGACCTCATTACTTACCACTAATTAAATCTGGTTCTGATATGATTCTGGAAAAATTTTGATTCAAGAAAGAAATTCTCCAAATAATCATGAGAGTTTGTATGACTTCCCTAGGATTTACTTTGTCTTTTAGGATTTGGACTAGAATAGGCAAAGCACCTCTTGCTACGAGTTCTTCTTTATTTTTGTCGTTTACAGAGAGGTTATTTATACCCTGGAGAACCTCTTGGACATTCATTCCGTGTCTACGGGACACCCTATCTCCGGCCTTCACTGCTTGGCTGAGAATTTGAACAATAAACCCCAGTATATTTGTTTCCAGAAGACCCTCCTCTTCCTCATCATTTTCTGTGAGTAGATATGACAATACAATGATTCCCTTCGCCAGAATCATTGGACTGTCTTCAAACCTAGCTATTGTCTTATGTGTTGTCGTTTTTATATTAAGTTCTCTGAAATGAAATTGAGCGGCTGAGGACACGTGTCTTAGACAATTATGCCAACATCCCAAAATAAATTTAACTAAAAACAATACAGATTCATTTTGTGTAGTGTCTTTTAGAAAATCTAATAATTGTGACGTCTTTTGAATAGCGACAGAACAGACTAACTGATGACAGAGCAAGGAAGACGAGTCCGTGACAATCCAGACAACAGACAGAAAACTCCTCACATTCTGAGAAGCAGCGCCCTTCAAACCTGCGAGCTCGTCCTTGTTTTCCACTAACAATGACAATACATTTTCTGTGAGTCCTTTTATATTGTTTTCCACCAAAGAATCAACTACAAGTGAAAGTATTTCTTTGTTTCTTTTTATTCTATCAATGGTGATCCATATGAATTCAATGTGCGTTTCCACAGCGTCTTCTAGAAGTTCAGAACAATTTACGGCACGGATCTCTTTTTCGATCTTCTGACACAATTCACTGAATTCTGCATTGTTATTGTTCTCCATGCTGGATGTCTAAAACTGACAATCAATATTAACCTCAAAGGAAATCTGCAGTATAAAAATAACAAGAGTAATTCTGTAGACATGATAATGAAGAGACAGACATTAAAAATGCTTACCTACCTCACTGTAATGAATACATGTTATGATCATAAATTTCTTTGTTTAAGGAAAAAGAGATTCTAATATATATATATATATTGATTTCCAATTAATGTTAACATCCAAATTAGTGTTTTTATTATTCATTCATTTTTATTCACCAGATAGTTTTATTTCAAAATACATTTTTGTTATCATTAGTTTTACGGCTTTGATTAATATCTGTATCAACAGCCCCAGAACGATGACGCATATAATATCAATAAATAATTATATATTGTTTATTGCAGAAAAATTCGAAATGTGTATTGTGCTAATTAGAATTGCCATCATATAGCAATAATCCCTTTTTTCGTGTTAAAACTTTACAATAGTGTTACATTTTAAAAAAAAAAGTGGTTAACTTACCTACCTAGAAATGGTCCATCCAATCGATATTTTAGGCCTGTAAAATCCAAAACCGACCTAATGCATCCATCCAGAATTCTCGAGTGTTCCGAAAAAGTCAGTAAGATTGTTTTAAAAACTTCCGCAATTATAAACTTCTCCCGGAAGGTTTTGTATAAAGAAAAACTTCCTTCACGATGATTTAGAGTAGAGCCGCGTTAATCCGAACGCTTACGGACGAAGTTTGTGGTTAATATAATAATAAAACCAAGCCAAGTCTGTTTTAGATATCCGGGCGCTTAAGTAATTCAGACGATCTGCACGGCAACCACATGCGTCCAGATTAACGAGGTGTATAACTGCGTGGAAAACCGAATGCATGTTTTACGCCAATTTATTTTTTCAAAGTATGTACATGTATATCGATGTATCTTATTATAAAAGTGATCACGATTTTTTGTTTTGTTTAAAATGTTCCTTGCTTGTAGTAATTTATCCATGCGATAACTTTGTTATATGTGATTTGCTTAGTATCTATTTTCACATGGAACTTTGGGCTTGAAGCTTTTTTCCACATTTAAACATGCCATTATTTGGCGAAGAAAAATATTAAATACATTATCAAGTTATGTTAAAATTACGGAATGAAGGATTTTTTCAAACAATAATTCTTTATCCTACAAGGTGCGTGTATGCAGTAGTGGGATATTTACATTGTCATTCAAACAGTTATATTTGTCTTGCAAAATTTATCATGAAATAGGGAGATAACGAACAGTTTTCAAGCTCAAATTCCATTAAAACAATACAAATCGGGAGCAGAGCAAACACGGACCTCCAAAAACATCAGAGATGGGATCAGGTGCCATGGAGGAGTGAGCATCCCCTGCCGACCGGTCACATCCGCCGTGTGATCCTTGTCATGATCGGGAAATAACGGAAAAATCCGTCGACAATTCAGTGTGTAAATAATGACCTAACAATTAGTATGAAAAACGTCAGTCAGTATATGACCTAATGATAAATTGTATTTGCTGACAAGATCATTGTATTGACCATAAAACTTACAAAATGATGACTTTAAGCGAGACTGTTGATATTCTTGTTTCATCAATTTGTTTCTCAACAACTTATCTCGATTTAGAAATTGTTCATACGTAGAACATGCTCTTGCATATCGAATAAACTGAGAGATGTACACCCCGTATGCAGGTGACAAGGGTACATTGCTGCATAAGTAAGGGAAATTGACGATTAAAAATTTGAAGTCATCACGTTTATCATAAAGCTTTGTTGTTAGATTGCCATTATTAACTTCTCAAGCTTCTTAAAGTAAAATATCCAAATATAAAACAGATGTGTTAGACTCTGTGGTATCTTTTATTTCAAGCTCATACTTTTAAAATCAGGGACCACATCAGAAAACTATGATTCATATAGGATTTCAGTTTTGACACAATCTGGGATTTTTTTTACATTGAAAATATGTTCAGCAAACTTTGTTATTTTTAGTTGAATAATTTACGTTATATACCCGTACATGTATATGTATTTATGAAATCCAGTCTCACAAATTCTTATGCTTTAATGTTATTTTAGCGAAAAATAAATAAATGTGTTAAATGAAAGAGAAGGACAAATACGTAATACAACAAAGACAATGAAAAAATATATTCTATCGACAAATTTTTGTTATAATTAATCAATGATGAATTTCGTTTTTTCTCAGGAAGTATGAATAATTATTCAACATTTTAGTATTGATTACAAGATATATAAAATTCTTGCGTAGGAATCAATGTTAACATTTTCCTTTTCAAGATCAAGTCGTAAAAGGTCCATCGATTAATTTTTGAATTATTCTCCTGAAAGTGTTAGTAAAAACAAATATAATATTGTTACTGAGGTATTTTTTTTAAATGATAAGAAATATTTTGAAATGGATACCCCCCCCCCCCCCGTATATATTGCTATTTTTATCATATGCCGAAAAATCAATAAACTTTATAATTGCATCCAGTTGTACGCATTAATAAGCATTAGGTGTTCGAAGTAAAAATTCTAAAAATTAATTTCCAGAATTACCATTAATTTGCCTAATCTACATTCAAGAAAATCAAGTTAGCAAAATTTACTCGATTTAGTAATTTAATTTCCTGTACCAAATACCTTCTTTGACAAAAACGCAAATGAATAATTCAATGTTCAGAGTAACCTGAATTTTTGTTGTTTCAGACCGAAATGGAAACCATGTTCTTTTTAAAATATAATAAAAAAAGAGCATTTTTCCTAACGTGTCGAGAGAGAGAGAGAGCATTTCAAAGAGTATTTGATATGCAAACATTATAAGGAAAAAATCGATAAGTATATGTACATGTACATAAATTTATATCCACTAAAACTTATCTTTATTTCTTAAGAAAACCGCGGTATTTAATCAAATATTATACTCGTATAACGCCGTTACGCCAGCCATCTAGAGGTACAGATTTCTTGAGTAATTCCATCAATGAAGCATACAATGACGTCCACATCAATAAAACAATATGAAACATACTTAACCCTACTTTATATGATTACATAGATATAAACAATACAATGTCTTTTTTTCTTTGAACGGAAATTAAAGTTGCATCTATTGCAGGAAAAATTACATACTAGTAATCAGTTTAAGCGGGTTATGTATTTTTTCTGCAAAAGCTGCAACATTATTTCCCGTACAATCTACATGTACCAAAGAAATCATTTTATTGTTTAAATGCATTCCAACATGATCTAAACTGCCCTTATGACAACTATTTACTGAATACGAAAATGTCTCATTCGACCTCCGCTTATAATTATTATCTCAAGAAAGAAAATGATTGTCCTTCCTAAGGATGATTATGAAATGATAAAAGATCGAATTATTTAGACATTGGAGAATTAATTGATATCATATTTAAAATCAAATATACTTACCTTTTAATAATACCATTTACATAAAAAATAGTCCCAATAAAGTGACATTTTTTCAAAGTAAAATAAAATTAAAAATAAGTTGTATCTTTCCTACTTACCCATTAATGATTACTAAGGGACATTTCTTTATATGAGGACAGTTATAGGTGTAAATCGTTAAGTTTTTATATAATTTCTCATCGATTCGTGTGGAAATTTATCTTTTAGTACCTGAAGAATATTTTCTCGAAAGAATAATTCAAAGTTAATGATACATATTTAAACATAGACATTAAAAGTAAAAGTAAAACACAGATACACATCGATAACATGATTATTTGTGTTATTTAAGTAAATACAATTGTAAATCGCTTACAATTTATCTGATTTTTTAATTCATGGCAGTAAACTTCTTTATGTTTGCGAATTCTTATAAGATTAATAATAAAGTAACTTTTAATCTCCCTTACCAAGAAAGCTATTGCCCTCTGAAAATGTTTGCTAATGAAATATGATTTGCAGTATGGTAGGTTATAGACACATTACCTCATCATAAGTTTTATTACGTTTCCTCGAGATTAAAAACAATCCAAAAATTGTTTAATTAAATTTGCGTTTACTTCAAACTTTCAACAAAAGTTGATATGTTCTGAGGTTATAAGTTTAATATTGCAGAATTATAATGTGTATCGTCATTTTCTTCCGATTTTTCTCCGTGATATCATTAGATGTCACATACAGTCCTTAAAGCAGTACAAATAGGCATGACTACATCTTCTGGAACACTTAGCGAGGAACATTTGGTTCACAGAAAAGCATCGCACTCTACAGTTTAAGTAGGCCTTGTCACAGATGCAGTAAGACTCTGTACCAACCATTGTGTACATTGCGACCAAACTTAAAATCCACAAAAGTTTTGGCATAACGGGTTTTGTAAATTTCTGAAAATTAAAAGAAAATATTAAAGAATGCGTTGAGATATAGATTACACGTACTAGTATTATCACAAAGATTTTCCCCATTCAGTTACCTATCAGTTCTGCAAAATCCCCCGAGGCATACAGTGTAGGCTGTGTACAAGACAGGTCTTTATAAAGCCAATTTGTATTAGCTCACTCGGCGGACAGTGTCAAAATTCTATAAATCTACGTTCATAACGCCTTCTCTTTTTATCATCTATAATATGATGATAATTTTTATACGTTCTATGTCGCTGTTTTGATTGTTTATTATATCAAAGTGCGAAAATTGTAAAGGGATGCTACGTTTTAAAATTCGCTTTTCTGAATAATTTAAGATGGCTTAGACAATACAATACACTTTTTTGTTTTTTGATGATGATATTAAAGATAACTATAAATTACATTTAAGTTGAGTTAAAAAAATATTATTAAAATTTATCTAGAAATGCCCCTTTTCATGATTTACTGTATATCTGATAGTTAACCATGTGTTCCTGGCACTGTGAATCATATTTTATTGTCGAGAACTTTATGTAAAGTGTAATCCTGGGCTTATACAAAAAATTTGTATTTTGCAAATGAATGTAAGAATATTGTTTGGCGAAAATAAAGTAACATTTTATTTAAGAAACTAATATC